CTCTCTCTCTCTCTCTCTCTCTCTCTCTCTCTCTCTCTCCCTCCCTCCCTCCCTCCCTCTCTCTCTCTCTCTCTCTCTCTCTCTCTCTCTCCTCTCTCCAGGAAATTCCAATGCTTTCAGGAGCACAGTGCCAGGAATGTGAGGAAGATTAAACATACATATTTCTTCTTATAAATCACAATATCACAGGGTGGTAAGAGAGAAAGGGAGGGTTTACCTGGCTTCTGAGGCTTCATGGCCTAGCAATGCCTGGAGAAGAAAGAGATGGGAGCAGGTAAGGGACCCATGACCCCCCTCTGAGCCTCTCCTCCAGAACCCTGGCATCTGCCCCCAGCACCCACTCCTGTACCTGGTCCGTAGCATGGGAACCGCAGACCCTGTGGGCATGGGCAGGAGGTGTGGGGGGGGGTGGGGAGGGGTTGAGGAACACAGGAGGCCAGAAACTGGGCTTCCCTTTCCTCCCAGTTTAGGGACCAGAAAACTTGGAGCCTCCTCTGCTGCATTCCATTACCAACTCTGCCCTCTCCAAGGAGCCCAGGAGAGGACCCTCAGAACAGAGTCTGGGTGGGGACCACCTCGCCCCCTCCTCTCTCCTCCTCGCCCAGCCTCCAGCTTCTCCCAACCCCTCAGTTCTGAGCTGGGGGGCCTGTGAGGGATGGAGGGATGAGCAGGGGGTTGGGGACCCTGGCTAAGTTAGAGGCAAGGATTTGTGATCCCCCGTACAGAGCCAAGCCAGAACCCTGGAGGCTCTCCCCGACACCCTCTTAATCCTTCACCAGTCCTGCCTCTTGAAGGCCTGGGAGATGGGAGAGAATGCCTAGATGTGGACCACACCCCAGAGCCCACCAGTCTCACCTGGCTGGGCTCCCAGCCTGTAGCTATTCCCAAATCCTGGGGGGACAGATGGAGACGGGTGTGTGAATAGGGGGAGGGGAGATTAGGGTTTGCAGGGAGGTGGAGAGACATGCCCGGACAAGGCTCACTTGGCTTCTGGGGTCTCACACTAGCTCCGAAGCCTGGTGGAGAGACGGGGGGCAGGTTAGGGCTCCTGGCCCCATCCCTGGACCTCCCTAGCATCTCCAGGCAGGCCCACCCCTGCCTGCTACATAGCCATTTTGAGCTGCAGGGCCTGGGGGCAGGAGACAGGGGCTCTGGGTACAGCCTCTCTGAGGCCCCTGCACAAAGAAAGGTCCTTTAGCTCTCCCCCCCCACCCCACCCCCAGCCGGGGCCTCGGCCTCCTCCTGGGGTCCAGCCTCCCTGTGGAGCTTGAACGCCATCCCAGCTGCCTGAGTCCCGTCTGGTTGGTGTCACCACCACCACCCACACCAACCAGCCAGGAAGGTGGACACCTTGACGTCCCCTTACCAACCACATGCTCTGCTCTGGGCATGAGCTCCCGCCTCCTTGGCCCCCAGCCATTTCCAGAGCCTGTACCCTCTCTGGTCCTCTCTCAGATGCCCCAGCTCAAGATTTTCAGTGGGGCACGGCCAGCGGGCCCCCGCCTCTGCCTCCACCTCCCCAGAATATGCCCCCGTTACATTCACGCTTCTTTCCTGCCTGCCTCCTCCTGCTGCCCAGGCTCGGGAAGGCCTGCCACCCCACCTGGCTGGGCTGCCCTGGGGATGTTTGTTGAAGGAGTATTTGTTGTGTGACGCCAGATGGGAGGGCGGGTCTCACCTGGCTTCTGAGATTTCAGTTCTCAGAGGCCTGGGGAAGAGAAGGAGACTGTCCAGTGAGTCCACCCGGATCCCCGTCCCCTCAGAGCTAGGGACAGCACCTCCACCCCTGCATCAGCCACCCCCTCGGTGAGCCCTGCACCCCTAGAGCTCTGGGGTCGCACCCGGCTGGGCTCCATTCCCGGTCCCAAACCCTGGGGAGACAGAGCAAGAGGCCTGAGGAGAGATCAGGGACTCAGGCGAGATCAGGAGTCTCAGGACTCCTGAGAGATCAGGAGCACAGATGCAGAGATGACAGACAGAGCCCAACAGAGCAGAGCATGGCTCACCTAGCTTCTGGCGTTTTCCTTTCCAGAAACCCCCACCTTTGGGTCTCCGCCCCCCCAACTCAGCCCTGGTCCCCTCTCTACCTGGTCCAAAGCCATTTAGAGCTATGAGACCTATGGGGGGGTGGGTGTGACACAGGAAATCTGGATGGCACTGAAGTGAGAGTGAGCCCCAGCCTCCCCGCCTACCCAGACCCCTGCCCTCCCCTTCAACATCCCTCCATTCAACCTAGCTAGGTTCACAAGAGGGGTGGGGAGCTCACTGGGGGGACCTGTGATAGGAAAAGGGCTGGGGAGACTGAGGCGGTTGAGAGATGGGATCCCAGATCCAGCCTTCCTCCAACCCTCTGGCCCAGAAGATTCCTGGGGTCTTAACATCCTCGCTCCTCCCTGCTCCCTCTCTGGATGCCAGGACCCAAGCCCACCCCCCACCCAGAAACACCAGCAGACTCCTCCCCAAGTTCTCCAACCCCTGCCTACTCCAGGTAGACAAGGTCTTTTGCTCCCTGCTTAAAACCACAAAGGTGTGTCCCACTGCCAGGTTCAAGTCCCCCCAGGCCTCCAGCATCGGGCTGTGTCCTCTGGCTTTCCACCTCTGGTGGATTGTCCCCCAGTCCTGACCACAGCCTGCAACAGCACCTGGGGGTCCTGGCTTGGGCACTGGGCCCAGCGGGTCTGCAGCCAGGTCAGGGTTGACCGGCTCGGTCTGCAGTGTGCAGCCAAGGTCGGGCTCAGGCAGGCACTTGGGAAAGTTGGTGGAATGAGTGAGCCTCTAAGAGGCCCCCTGTTAGGAGCCCAGAGTGGTGGCCAGCAGTGATCTCTCCCTCCCCCAGCAGCCTGGGCCCTAGCCACCCTCACCTGGCTGGGCCCCCAGGCCATGGCCCATGCCCTGTCCTGGAGAGGAAAAGCCATATGTGAGCAGTGGATTGGGGGAGGACTTGGGATGGGGACAAGGACAGGGATGGACAGGGACAGAATTAAGATGGTGGGACGGAAGGGCAGGGTCTCTGTCTCACCTGGTTTCTGAGGTTTCATGCCCCCTCCTAAGCCTGGGGAAAGAAGAACTGAGCCACATGCAATGTGGACCCCTCCTAGCCCTTATTCTCCCCCAAGAAATCAAGTTTCTGCCCTCCCCCTCCCTCCTTTCTAGGACCCCAGGTACCCTCACCTGGCTGGGCTCCAACTCCTGGGAAGGCCCCAGCTCCTAGCCCATTCCTGCTGCTGAGTCCTGGGGAGACAGAGCAGGAGTGAGTAAGGGGAGCAGGGGTGGGGGTGGAGGGACGATGGGGGGCAGAGGACAGGGACATAGGGACAGGGTGGGGCTCACCAGGCTTTTGAGGTTTCACGCTCCCTCCAATTCCTGAGAAAGAGACGGAGACTCGGTGAGGGAGCCTAGAGCTCCTGTGAACCCAAGCACGTGCCTCCAGCTCCTCCCACCCCTCCCCTACCTGGTCCCTGGCCATTCTGAGCCACGGGGCCTGTGGAGAGGAGGAGGGTAGAGGCTGGAGCCCAGCCAGTGCTGGGTGGGCCCACACCTCCTGTGGTGTCCTCACTCCACAACCTTTGTGCCCCCCAAAAGTTATTCCCCTGGAGCATGCCCAGAGAGGGGACTGGAAGTCTGGAAGAGCCTCCCCAAGACCACAGCTCAAGCCAGAGGAGTGGCAGCAGCGGCTAATGAAGGGAGCAGTCCCTGGGAGGGTGGCAGAGTGGCAGGGCTGGGGACAGGGTGAGAGGGCTCCCCCACACCTGGTTTCTGAGGTCTTATGCCCCCTCCCAGCCCTGGGGAGTGACAGAGAGATTGACACTGACCCCTACCAGCCCCTCTCCTAAGAGTGTGGGCCAGGACCCTGAACCCCGCTTGCCTGCCCCTCCCTGCAGCCCCCTGGCTAGAAAAGCACCAATGCTGAATCCATTTCTGCTCCCAAATCCTGGGGACACAGAGGTGGCACTGTTGGCTGTGGGCTGGCAGGTTGGGGCAGGCAGAAGGGGCCAGGATAGAAATGGGTGGGGAGAGTGCCAAGATGGGCAGGGCAGGGCTCACCTGGCTTCGGAGGTTTCATGCCCCCTCCCAGGCTGAGCCCCTGCCCTCCCCCCAGAACGCAACTCTCTCTGGGTTCCCTGATTCCAGCTCTGTTCACGCCTTCCCCCTCCCTGGACCACAGGGTGGTGCCCCAGGTGCCCTCACCTGCCTGGGCTCCCGGCCCTGGGAAGTCACCAGCTCCCAGCCCATTTCCATATCCTGGGGAGACAGAGCCAGAGGGAAGGATGGGGGGAGGGGCTGGGGCTTCAAAGGGCAGGTAGATGGAGAGGTGGGCAGAGGGGCGGTCATGGAGCAGGTCTCACCTGGCTTCTGGGGTTTCACCCCCCTTCAAAAGCCTGGGGAGAGAGATGCAGTAGATGAGGACACCCCAGGGAACCAGCCTCTTCCTGGGGTTCCATGAGCTGAGGGCTAAGGTGGGGGCATTTGTGGTCCCAGCTGAGGTAGGGGTGGAGCAGGGGTGCCCTTGGTCTCCATTCCCCAAACCAGACAACTGGAACAGTTTTGGTCTTTCCCTTTGCCTCCAGTGAGTCACCAGTTGTGCCCTGAGGGAGGCTGGGGGAAGACCCAGTGGTATCCTCCCCACCCCTCATATCCAAACCCATCTTTTTCCCGGAACCTCCTCACCTGGCTGGGTGGCAGCACCTGGGAAGGCCCTGACTCCCAGCCCATTCCCGTTCCTAAACTCTGGAGAGACACCTGGGGACACAGGGCAGGAGAGGGTAAGGGAGAGGGGCAGAGAGATGAGGAGAGACAGGTAGGGCGAGGCTCACCGGACTTCTGGGGTTTCACGACCCCTCCAATGCCTGAGAGGGGGATGGGGGTCAACTGAGGGTCTCAGGAGACCCCATGTCAGGGGTGCCCCTAGAATCCTGGCCCCACCTCCACCTGTTCCCTAGCCATTGGGAGCTGGAGGACCTGTGGGGAGAGGAAGCCATGAACTGGGTGGGTTTGGGGTGAGGGTGCAGGACCCTTGGACCCCACCAGAAACAGCAAACTTGAAGGCTCTCTGTCTGTCCCTTCACCCCCTGGAATCATTCACAAATCCTGCCCTCTGGTCCGAGGCCTGGGAGTGAGCAGGGGGATGGGCAATGCCCAGCTCCACCACTCACCTGGCTGGGCTTCTAGCCCATGCCCAGTGCGGAATCCTGGGAGAAGAGATAGAGGTGAGGGGTGTGAGAGAAGGGTGGGGAGACAGAGAGAGAGCCAGGGCCAAGTAGGGCCCACCTGGCTTCTGAGGTTAAACACCCTCTCGGAAGCCTGGGGGAGACCCAGTGAGCCCGTGAGAGACCCAGGACACCCTCCACCCCATAGCCATTCTGAGCCAGGGCCTGTGGGAACTCAGCTCCAGTCCATTCTTCCCAAGAAGGGTGGGGGACACAGGAGGGGCCCTGGCTCCTGGGAGCTCACTCCCCTTCCTTCCTTCTTTTGGCTCTGAGCTGGCCCAGGGCCTCGCAGTGAGCCGGGCTTGCCCGCCCTGGAGTTGGGTTCTGTGGGCAACCGGGGAACAAGCAGGGACAGGAAAGAGTTGTACCCCCGAGGCGTGTACATGGTGAGACAACAGAACCGCCTTGGTGGATTCCTAGGGCAGGGGAGAGGTATGTAGGAGGGAAAGGACAAGGTCTGCAGGAAGGGTGGTGGGCGGGCTTCTCCACCCAGGGCTGGGGTGGGGGGGGAAAGTGCAGCAGTGTGGTCCTTAAGTGTTTCTGAGATGGCTGTCTCCCCCAGACCCAAATCCCATTTGCCCATGCCTTACCTGCTCCTAGACCACTGGGGGGACCATAGCCTGTGGGGGAAATGGGAAGTTGAGCCTGGGGGGCAGGAGGGGCCAGGAGCTGGGTGCCCTGCTCTTATTCCGAGGACACAGAACTGCCCCGCCCGCCACCCCTCAGCCAGCTTTACCTGATGGATAGCCATTCAAGCCTCCTAAGCCTGTGGGGTCAGGAAGAAAGGGTGACTTAGGAGGCAGCAAAGAGCTGAATCTGGATGCTCCCTGCAAAGCAAGAGAGCACACCCCCGTCTCTGGGCCTCAGGTGCCCTGGGGTCACTGGAGGGTGAGCAGACTGGTGGCAGGGGCAGGAGAAGTGGAAGAGTCCCTGGCATGGAGGGAGGCGTCTGGGCCATACCCCTGGGAGCAGATCCCCCTGTACCCTCTTCCAGGGGCAGTTGCACTTCTGGCCTCCATTCTTACTTGAACTCCTCCCTTCCTGGAAATCCCATCCTCGTCCCCCAGCCCCGAAGTCTCTCTCCTGCAGCTTAGGTGTGTCAGGTCTCAGGAGGAAGCCCCTCTCCCACCTGTAGGGCCCCACAGGTCCCTGGAGGGAAGACCTTTCCGGACACCCCACCCCTGGCCCCGCCCCAACTCGCCTTGTCTCCTCCCTTCCTGTCCTACCTCCACGCCTTTGCCTTGTGTCACTGCCAGCGATGTCCTTCCCCTTTCCTGTCGCAATCTGCCCCACCCCCACCCCGCAAAACCAACTCCAGGCCTTCCTCCAGCCCTGATGTTCTCACACCCAGGGTTGAGATTCTGCCCCATCTCAACTCAGTTCCAAGGGTGCGAGCTGTCTGTTTCTCACACTTGAGCTGACGTGAACAAGGTCACCTGCCAGGAAGACACGGATGACCCTGTGTTCTCCTGGGCCCCAGATCTGGATCCCAGAGCAGGGAACATCTGGGGTGCTCCCCCAGAGAACTCCCAGACCCCTGCGAGGGGAAGACCAGGCCCTCTTCCTTGACCCCAGAGCCTGGAGGATCCACTTACCTTTCCCCAGGCTAGGAGACAATGGAGGTAGCCCTAGGGGAGGAAGGGGGGTCCTGACTCAGGGCAGGGACCCCAGGCATCTATCCCCCAGTCTCCCAAAGCCCTGCCCAGCCCAGATTCACAGACCCTCCCCTCCTTCTCTCTGGAGCCCCAGCATCTGGCCCAATGCTCTACCTACACTCCAAGCCCCAACTTCAGCTGCCCAGACCCGCCAGCAGCCCTGCTGCCTGCTCTCACAGCCTTGCAGGCTTTCAGAAGTCAAGCAGAGCAGGAAAAGGGTGGAGGGGAAGGCCCAGGTGCTCATGATGAGGGCAGAGTGAGAGGACACCCACGTTTTGGGCCTTTAAACACCTCTGCTATGTGGGGGCCCACATCCACTTCCCCCCACTGTGAGTAGCAGAGGCTCCGCTGGGCTGGCAGACCCCAGGGGGCAGCCCCCGCCCGCCCCCTCAGGCCTCTTCCCTGCTCACCCCTCATCCATCATGGGTGCTGACAGCCGGGACAGGCCCCCACCTAGCCCCCCAGGCTCCTCCACCCCTGTCAGGGACTGGGGCCCTGGCGCCAGGCCTGGAGGGCTCAGCTGCTCCCCCCAGCAGCTGGAGAGGGCAGGCAGGCACCCCAGGCCCAGCCTAAACACAGCTGGGGGTGGGGGTGGGGGTGAGCCAGGCCCAGAAATGTGGGCGTGGCTGGCAGGGGAGGCTCTGAATGAGTTACTATGTTACAGGAAGGAGACAGTATTACAGAGGCAAGTGGCCAGGGGACAGTGTAGCAGACTGTATCAGGACTGTATCACTGTATCCCACAGGCAGGCGTGTCCACGAGAGGAGCTGGGCTATTAACCCATCTAACCCTGGAGACCGCAGTGATCACACCAGGAGACAGCCCTTTGACCCCAACTGAGTCTGGGCTTGCAAGAGTGGGACTGAGCCTCCCTTCCATGAAGGATGGTGACACACAGGGATGGGTCACCCCATGTTCAGCCTGTCCAAGAGTCCCTGCTGTTTCTTGAAGGCTCAGCCAGGGTCCACCTGCTGCACAAGTCCCTCCCAGCTTCACCTCCATCTCCTGCTCTGCTCCATCTGCACTGACTCTAACTTTAGGGACAGAATCTGGGGGAGGGGGAGCTGCTTAGGGTGCGGTGGGGGCAGGAGTGCAAAAAGGGTACCTGGAGGTTAGTAAGCACTCTCCATTCCTCAGGTGGGCGGATGAGCCTGGAGCTGGGGCCTGGGCGCAGGGGGCTTGGTGGGGAGCCGAGCACGGGAGACCCAGAGAGGTAGGCCTGGGAAATGCCAGGAGTTGGGGCCTGGACCCCAGCCCAGGTAGAGGGCTGAGGGGGTGGCTTGAGGGGCCTTTAGCACAGCTGCATTTTCAGAAGATGTCTGACCCGCAGGTGCCTGGCCTCCCTTCAACTGGCCTCCCCCAAATTCCCACCCTGGCAGGTGGTGCTGTTGTGAGCAGTTGGCAGGGAGCCTACTGACACGGGCTGTGCCATTTTAGGCGATGCGCTCCTTGGGCCTCCAACTTGCACTTCCAACACCCCAGCTGTCACCTTGCCCTGGGCTCCCAGCTCTGGCGCCTCAAAGTTGCTCCTCTATTCGGAGGCTGGGCCATGTCCCCTCACACCTAGGGGCAAAAGGTAGCCCAAGACCTAGCTCCATCAGGGGCTCTCTCAACCCACTCTAAGAGGTCCATGTGCTCTCAGGCTGTCCTGCCAGGGTGGGGCTGGGGGTAAGCTGAGGGGACTGGCCTTGCCGGGGGTCGGGGTGGTGGCATTGCAGGGGCCGGAGGTGCCCAACTGGGCCAGGCCCTAGTCCTGAGCGGAGTCAGCTGGCCCAAAGCCCCAGACTGGTTGGCATTTTTCACAGGCCCATGCCAGCACCCAGGCAGCCTGGCAGTGGTGGCAGGCACTGGCTTTCCCTCTGGCAGTGGCCAAGCAGGCGCCCAGACTGTACCTCCTGCGAGGCCTCTCCTAGTCTCCCCGCCTGCCTCCTCCTGGGCCAAGCTTCCCTGGCGCCCTGCAGGGTGGGCCATGTGTCTGTGTGTCTGGGTCTGTGCAGGGGGCCCTCAGCTATCCCAGGTCTGAAGCAGACACCTTGGGCCTAGACTGGCGCAAGGTGGGCAGACAGCGAAGTGGCATCTGAGGTAACAGGGGCTGCTGCTGCCCAGAAGTGTGTGGATGAGCAGAGGGCGGAGGCCTGTGTACTGCCCGGCCTCAAATCCCAGCCCCGCTGCTTAGTTGTAAAATCTGTGCCAAGTCCCTTCTCTCTGCCTCTGTTTCCCCATCTGCAAAATGGGGTGAGAAGTAGCTCCCCCATTTTAGAGGAGAGTGAACAGACTCAGGAAAGTGGGATTTCTGCTCAAGCTCCCAGCCAGATGGAGCTGGTATGTGAACCCGATCTGCATCTGAACCCAGCGCCCAGTCGGCTAATCATAGGCCACTTGGTCACCGTCCGTGAGTGGGCCAGGGAGCCGGTGCCTGTGGCCATGGGGCAGAGCAGGTGGTCTGGCAGGAAAGCCCTCCCCAGGGAACCTGAGTGGACCATCCCAGCTGCCCCCGGCTGTCAGGAGTGGTTGAGGCCAGGGGCCACCCCTGAGCCCTTCCCAGCAGCCAGTAAAGGTCCAGCCTCCAGGACTCCAGGTCTTGGCTACCTGCCAGGTGGGGCAGGAGGGGGGCCTGTGGGGTGCTGTGCTGGGGTGCCTGGCTGAGGGGACCCAGCTCGAACAGAGGGGTCTTGTTCACGGGTGGGTCTGTGCGGGGGAGGTGGGTGCCCCAGGCATAGTCACATCACATGTGCTCTCATGTGAGTGTGCTCCCAGGGTGCAGGCCCTCCTGTGGGAAGTGAGCAGCAAGGGTGCAGCCCAGCGTGTGTGTGTGGGGGGGGGCAGAGGGGGAGGTGCTGGTGACTTCAGCCCAGATCCCTGTATTGGCCACCTCTAGGACACCTCTGTCACCCCCAAGCACGTGCACTGTGCAAAGCTGACTTCTATTAACTCCCTCTCCTACCTGTCAGATTTTTTTTTTTTTTTTAATGTGGTACGCGGGCCTCTCACTGTTGTGGCCTCTCCCGTTGCAGAGCACAGGCTCCAGACGCGCAGGCTCAGCGGCCATGGCTCACGGGCCTAGCCGCTCTGCAGCATGTGGGATCTTCCCGGACCGGGGCACGAACCCGTGTCCCCTGCATCGGCAGGCGAACTCTCAACCACTGCGCCACCAGGGAAGCCCTCAGATTATTTTTTTAAAAAAACCTATGCCAGGGACTTCCCTGGTGGTCCAGTTGTTAAAACTCAGCACTTTCACAGCCTATGGGCCCGGGTTCAATCCCTGGTTGGGGAACTAAGATCCTACAAGCCGTGCAGCATGGCCAAAACCAACAAACAAAACTTATGCCATTGCAAAGTGTGCACAAGACAGAAACATACAGTATAATAAGTACCTATAAAGCACAGAGGTCAAGAAATAGAACACAGCCAGCTCCCCAGAAGTGTCCATCACAATCGCTTCTTTCCTGTTAGGGTAGCCATGTTTGCACATGTGGCCGTCTTTTCCTCGTCTTTCTTTCTTTCTTGTTAATTTATTTACTTACTTATTTATTTATTTTTGGCTGCATTGGGTCTTCGTTGTTGCTCGTGGGCTTCCTCTAGTTGTGGAGAGCAGGGGCTACTCTTTGTTGTGGTCCGCGGGCTTCTCATTGCGGTGGCTTCTCTTGTTGCAGAGCACGGGCTTTAGAAGCGTGGGCTTCAGTAGTTGTGGCTCACATGTTCTAGAGTGCAGGCTCAGTAGTTGTGGCACACGGGCTTAGTTGCTCCACGGCATGTGGGATCTTTCCGGACCAGGGCTCGAACCTGTGTCCCCAGCATTGGCAGGAGGATTCTTAACCACTGCGCCACCAGGGAAGTCCCTTGCCTTTCTAAAGTCACATTAGTCCAATTTTGTGGCCCCATCCCTGGTGAGTGGTGAATGCGGTCTTGGCGGGCCCGCGGTGCTATTTCTGTGACAGGTCACACGGGGGCGCGCTGTTCAAGCTGGCTATCACCTGGATGTGCGGCCAGGACCCGGGGAGTCCAGAGCCTGGGCAGGGGTTGGGGGGCTTCCTCCTGGACCGAGCCTCTGCCAAGTGCTCTGGTCTCAAACCTGTGACCCCCCCAGGTGGGTGCAGAGGTCCTGGGTCTGAGTCTTCTCCAGGGGCCTCCTTTAGGTCCAGGCAGGTGCTTTAAGAACTGCAAAACACTATATGCACGAGGGAGTGTTACTATTATTATTAAAAAGTGAGTAAGTTCCTACTGTGTGCTTGACCCTGTCCTTTATTCACATGCACTTTCTCATTTACTGCTCATACACCCCAAGGAGGAATGAACTATTATTATTATCCTCATTTTACAAATGTGGAAACAGGCCCAGAGACATAAAGCAACTTGCCCATGATTGCACAGCTTCTGTGTGGCAGAGTTGGGTTAGAGCCTTAAATTCCCTGACTCCATGGTCGATGCTCTTACCTGCTATCTGTACTTAACTTTATATTAAAGCATGTTTGTGAATTTAAAAATTATTATTTTAAAATTTATTTATTTTATTTATTATTTGTTTTTGGCTGTGTTGGGTCTTTGTTGCTGCACACAGGCTTTCTCTAGTTGCGGCGAGCGGGGGCTACTCTTCGTTGCAGTGCACGGACTCTAGGCGCATGGGCTTCAGTAGTTGCGGCACACAGGCTCAGTAGTTGTGGCTCATGGGCTCTAGGGCTCAGGCTCAGTAGTTGTGGCGCATGGGCTTAGCTGCTCCGCGGCATGTGGGATCTTCCCAGACCAGGGCTCAAACCTGTGTCCTCTGCATTGGCAGGTGGATTCTTAACCACTGTGCCACAAGGGAAGTCCCTAAAAAATTATTTTTTAAGTCATTGTGAATTAGACGTTCGGACCTGAGCCCAGGACTCCCGGAGATGGGACTGGCAGAGGGGCTGGCAGCTGGAGAGGGGCTTGCCTGCTCCCTGGGTATCCTGGGGACAAGCCTGGGGTCTTTAACAAGGATTCAGCCTGAGTGACAGGGGCTGGCCCGTGGCTACCAGATATGCTAATGCAAAGAAGGGCACACGGAGGGGGTGCTGCAGCCCCCAGAAAAGCTCTGGGTCTTGGGCCTAACCCAGGATTCCAGGCCCTCCAGCACTGGTCCATGCAGTGGAGAGTGTTCCCTGAAGGTATAAGCACCACAGTGAACTGGGAGCCCTGCAGTCCATGACCTTTCAGAGACTTGGGGAGACAGATGATCAACAAATAAACTGATAGATGATAGAATTTCAGATAGAGATAAATGCTATATGAAAATAAGGTGGGGGACTGCCCTGGTGACGCAGCAGTTAAGAATCCGCCTGCCAATGCAGGGAACACGGGTTCCAGCCCTGGTCCGGGAAGATCCCACATGCTGTGGAGCAACTAAGCCCATGAGCCACAACTACTGAGCCTGCGTGCCACAACTACTGTAGCCCACGCACCTAGAGCCTGTGCTCTGCAACAAGAGAAGCCATGGCAGTGAGAAGCCCGAGCAAGGAAGAGTAGCCCCCGCTCGCTGCAACTAGAGAAAGCTCACGCGCAGCAACAAAGTCCCAGTGCGCCAAAAATACATAAATAAATAAAATTTTTTAAAAAAAGAAGAAAAGAAGGTGGGAAAGGAGACGTGATGAGATGGGGAGCTTTCTAGGGAGGGTGGCCTGGAAGAGTGACTCCCCTCGATCCTGTTAAACAGATAAAAAGTCCCCTCCGATGGAGGAAGAAGCAACCCCCCTGCTAAGAAATTTAAGGGGATCATGCTATTTGAACCTCCAGCTCGGTGAAGGAAGCATAATCAGCTCCACTTTTACAGGAGAGGAGACTAGTCTGAAGCTCAGAAAGGCCCAGGGCCTTCCCAAGGTCGTTCAGCCAGGAAGGGGCTGAGGGAGGTTTGAGCTGTGCTTAAGTCTCAGATCCAAAGAATGGGAATGGCTGCCTCGGAGGTGGCCGAGGTCTGGAGACAGGGAGGCTTCCTGGAAAAGGCAGAATTTTCTGGTTCACGAAGCCGCGCGTTCCGCAGGTGGAGGGTGTGTGTGTGTGTGTGTGTGTGTGTGTGTGTGTGTGTGTGTGTGTGTGTGTGTGTGTGTGTGTGTGTGTGTCGCGCGTTCCGCAGGTGGAGGGTGTGTGTGTGTGTGTGTGTGTGTGTCGCGCGTTCCGCAGGTGGAGGGTGTGTGTGTGTGTGTGTGTGTGTG